AGGAAAAACCGAAGAGGAATTTTTGGAAGACGACTCGGAGGCAGACATCCACGAGGTCGCAGGGTGGGTTCTGCCACATAATCACCGCCACATCCGCTGGTCAGAAACGGATCGCTGTCATTCTGCTTTGTTTCACGTGTTCCAGGTTCAGCGTGGAAAACGCCTACATTGATGAGAAGGAGGACGCCTGTGAAGCCCTGGGAGAGATCGCCTTAAGCACCGGGTAACACATTTTCACTTTCTACTGCTTTGAATATTTCATTGTATTTTTTTTCCCCAGAAAAAAAAATATATTGTGGAATATTCACCCGTTGTTGCTCTGGGTTTTGTCGTCGCAGCGTCGCCTTCCAGCCTTTCCTGGAGTCCAGCTTCCAGCAGGTGTTTGAGATGAGAGATGTAAGTCAGTCTGGATGTTCTGTCGGCCTGGTCACAATGTCTTTGACCGGTTCTATTCAGTTCACTAGTTTATGGTTCCAGTGCAGCTTCTAACCTTTTTTAAACTTTAATTCACAATTAGAAGAAAAAAATGACTCAAACTAATCTATTCTTTAAAATTGTGTTGATATCTGTAATCTAAACACTAGTTTTCTGTATCAGGCAATTTATTTACAGGGCGTCATTACATCCTTAAAATGTCTTGGAAATTTTAATTAGATTGCTCATTTCTGTGGATGTACAGGTCTTGAATTCCATTGATTATGATCTTTAAAAGTCTTACATTTTGCTTGGTGAAGTCTTCGGAAACCCGGTACGTTAAGCCAGGTTATTTTATTCATAATTACTTGAATAGTATGACCACTTAAAAAAATTAGAACAAAAAAAAAATCACTTTTTAAATTAAGTTCATTCTTGTACTGAAAAAAAAATTCAACATGAAGAAATGCTTTTCCTTAATAGACTACCTGCAATCATTTTTATGTTGCTGTTTAGCTAACCTTTTTTTGGTTGTATGCTTCAATTCATTATTCTGTTGGAAGACCCACTAATGACCCAGTTTAAATCATGATTTACTAATTTGATGTTCATTGAATCCCTTTTCAGCTTAAGAACTGTAAGATATAAATAAAATCCGTTACATCTTGAAAGCAGTAGTTTGGGTTACAGTTGTGATTTAGCTACCAACAATCTTAAAATGGGATTTAGGTCGTCTTCAATAGCTGCAAAAGTGGACAGCGTTGTATTACAGTTGTCCCCTTCTTTTGTCTGCTGCCTAGCGTTTAGCTTTGTGCATAACTGCAAAACCTTAGTGGCAGAAAGATTATAAGTAATGAGTGTGTTATTGAGCACCTGCTCGGCGTTATTGATTCGACAGTCGCAGCGGCAGAAAACGCGCAGCCCAATATTTGCTGAGGCAGGAAACTCCAGCAGCACTTTTTCTACTGTGTGCTTTGTGTTTTCGTCGTGGGGATTTGCTCTGAACAGCACTAATAATCTGTTCTCTCCACAGTTTCCCCACGAGGACGTCCGGAGGGCAGCACTGGGCGCTCTGGGTCAGTTCTGTCAGGCTCAGCACAAAGTCTGGACTGAGAATCGCACTGAGACCAACCACCAGGGTAAAGCAGGATATCATTAAATAATTCATAATTAATAGCCAGCGACATTAAATTGTGCTTTTCTTCTTTACTCCTGACTCTCGGGGGGCCCATCAGCCCTGTTGAAGTTGCTGGACGTGGTTCTCCCGTGCTTCGTGGAGACGGTGCGGATGGACAGGGAGCGGCCCGTCGTCATGGGCGTCCTGGAAGCCATGAACGCCATGATCAAGTCCTGCAAGGAGGAAGTGTTCAGAAACCCTTCACACCTCAAGGAGATCAGCAACGTCATCCGAGACGTGCTGAAGAAAAAGGTGGGCGGATGGAACAAGAGGCCTGGAGCAAGTTTCGATATTGAAGAATGACAAGAGTAACTATTTTCTCTCTTCATCAGACTGCTTGCCAAGGCAGTAGTACCGACGAAGTCGATGATGAAGAACAACAGGTACTTGAACTATCAATGTTCCACTCTGTTTAGAGTTAAATAATTGAATAATACCTCAGTTTGTGGATATAATTTCATTCACATAAAGTGCAAATGTTTGTCCACCAATGGAGGTGACATGTACTGCGTTCTTTCCGCATTTTTTGTTTCAGGCAGAGTTTGATGCGATGCTGCAGGAGTTTGCAGGAGAAGGGATTCCCCTGGTGACCGCCAGCGTTCCTGCAGAGAAGTTTGCTCCTTACCTTAACGATCTACTGCCTCTCATCATGAGCAAAGCCGTAAGTCTTAAGAACGCTGACGCAGATGTGAATCATTAGTTGGGCCGATGCGAACTTAAATACGTCTCTTTCTACGTCACACTACACGTTGTCTTTTGGAATTCCTGGTGACAAAGATTTAATTTGGGCAAAACACCCGTATTATTGACACCTTGTAAACAAAAAGAAGTCCTCCATGAATTAATTACATGTTGGGTGGATAAATCCAGCAATAGAGATGCAAATAGATTAATCAGCCTTTATGAATACAGTGAAGGATAAAAATATGGAAATGCAATGTCAATATTTTAATGCTTTCGATTTTTTTATGCTTTTCCAGATCTTGAAAAAAAAACAAATCAGGGATCACAAGAGGTGCTTGAAATCCTTGAAAATGCTTGAATTTCAATTAGGAGTTCTCAAGGTTAAGAGAGTGTTTTAATTCTGTTTAGTGTGATCAAAACTCAAACCGCTGTTTTATAGTAAAGTGCATTCTAACATTTGATTAAAAGGCTAAATTTTGAATGCATTACTTACAGTGGAAACCAGATATTTTCACACACCTAATGAAAAAACTGGGACACATTTATTCTTTTACTGTATGAAGTTAAATCATGTCAGATAACATATAATAGTGTATTGAAAAGGTCTTTTTTTTAGTTCTGTAGTTCTTAACTAACCTTGAAAACTATTGATAAGTGCTTGAATTTTGTTGTGGGTAAAGTGTACAAACCCTGTTCTGTTCCAAACTGTTACTGTTGCCTTGTGATATATATGTATATATATGTCTTATTTCTTAATATTTGGATGCTTTTCTTGAAAACCTTTTTTTGTTTTACTTAAAAGAAATCGTCCTGCACGGTGGCCGATCGCTCCTTCTCCTTGGGGACGATTGGAGAAATCCTCCATGCTCTGGTGAGCGTGTCAGGAGGCAGGGGGGTGGCAGGCCGACTGTCCAATCGCCTGCTTCCCGTTCTGGTCGCCGGAGTGAAGGACAGCGACGCCGAGGTCCGCAACAACAGCGTGTTCGGGCTGGGATGCCTGGCTCAAGCCGCCGGACCGCTCGTCGTGTCGTATCCTTGTAATCTGTCCGTGTTTCCGTGACTCGTGGGTTTCCGCTCGCCGTGCGCTCGGAGTCGATCCTTAGCGAAACGCCACGCAGAGACTATCCCATGATGCTCTCTGTGTTTTCAAACATGCTGGGCAAGGAGTCCGACCTCCGAGTGATCGACAACCTGTGTGCCGCCCTCTGCAGGATGATCATGAGCAACGTGGACGCCGTCCCTCTGGAGCAGGTGGGTTCCACTTTGACGAGCCTTGCTTCACATTCGTGCAGAAAAGTGACCCAAATACAAAACCGTCCACAACATGAGCATTTTTGATGACAGGTTGTAACTGTTCTGGTGACACATCTTCCACTTAAAGAAGATCAGGAGGAGAACCAGACGGTGTTCAACTGCCTGACGATGCTCTACAAACACAATCCTGTCCTGGTACAGTAGAAACCCACTTTCAGTTCAACATTCCTGCTCCAGACTGGAAAATAGTTCACACCTGCTAATGCTTTTGTCAAAGCAGGGCATACAGTCACTGTGAAAATCCCTCTTTTTATTTTAAGACCTCTAAAACCAGGAAAAAAATAATGAAACTGTACAAAAGGAAAAAAGTGAAAACAAATCTGCCAGTTGAAGTCGTACTTTTTCATCATTATGAAGGAATTATTTACTTAAAACAAGCTCATATCTATCTCGCTGAAGTTACTTCTTAGTTTTGTTACTAAGATATTCACACTTGAAACTGGAGCAAAAATAATGAAAATAAAGAGTCACAAAAATACTCAGTGTATTTTATAGCCCCGAACCAGACACTCTGCAACCTTTTCAACTTTTATTATATTTATTAAATATATGTTAAACATAGAAAATGTAAAACCCCAATAAACGCAGCATTTGACAAAGTTTGTGTTTAGATTCCAGAGGCTCAGAAAGCTCTGTTGCTGTTCTTCTCTTGTTTAGGTGGTGAAGGTAATCAAGCCCATTGTTGCCGCTTCCAGTCACGTCGTCGGCCACAAGGATGTCGATAAAGGTGAACCTCACTCATCCGTGACCTCAGCCGTCGCTGAACGTTTGAATATGTGGGGCGCTGCAGTTGGGATGTGATTCAGAGCTGCCGTCTGTGCAGAGCTCTTCAGTATTCAGTTCAGTTGCACTAATCTGTCTTCAACGATTAGCTGTCCACACCGAGTCTCAGTTTGCTTCTCATCTTCTCTCCCAGAAACACAGAGCACCGTGGTTTCTCTGATGAAAGAATTGGCCCACAAGCACGGTGCGGAGTTCCAAGCAGCGGCAGCCTCCCTCCCCGCAGAGCAGCAGGCCAAACTCTGCGCTGCCGTCACCTCCTCGTAGCCCGAACACGTCCTTCGTCTTCCCTTCAAGCAGTGAAACAGTCTGACAGGACAACGAACGTTGCACTGTAGGAGGGGAGGGGGACGTTTGTCTGTTTGACATAAATATAGAACTTCAGCCACCTAGTTTTACTGCATTCATAAGTTCTTCGTCTAATTTATTTACATCCCAGTCTCTTGTGTTAAGCGTTTCAAAGTTCATCCGGAGTTCTATTTCAGATTCTCTTTGAAGTCTGTTTTTTTTGTTGGTCTTGTAAAATTATCATTTTCACTCAAACCACGACAAGGTTTACACGACTTGTATGAGGTAAGGAGTTTAGATTACCGAGTAATTTCCTGACAAGTTCACTAATTTTTGTTCTGAACTCATTTAAGTGCCTATTTTTTTTTTTTCATTATCTTATGCAAAGTAGAGACTGTTTAACTTCTAAAGTGGATTTTTACTGCCTCGAACAGAGATCTCTTTGTAGTTTTAAAGAATTAGTGGTCTAAGACCACCTCGCAAACTAGAATTCACCCAAAACAGTTCTGAATTAAACGGTTATTATTGCTCAGTAAGTTATCCTGTCATGCTGCACAACTCCCATCTCATGGTCGTATGTGTTGCAGAAAGTATAAAACAGTTGCACAAAAGCTACCGTATTGCAACTTTTATATCTGGTTAACTTTGTAGTTATGTGATGCTTAAAATTGAAAATGCATTTGAAAAAAAAAAACCCCCACAAAAAAAACAAACATTTTCCAACATGTCAACTCTTCCTTTGTCAATAAATCTATTCCATGTTGATTCATGTTTTTTTTTGTTTTGTTTTGTATGGTAGTTTATCCTGTCACGCATCAGATGTCTCGTTGATCCTGAGCCTCGGTATTCCCAGGCTGACGGTTTTCCAGGCCTAACGTCATGGTCATCTCCACAGGCTTCAATTTGTTCTTCCCTGGAACGAAAAGACATTGTTGTGTTAGGGCCGTCCTCGATGGAGGATTTAATTCCTTCCTCTCTTGGTAAAATGGAAATGTCTACACAGAGCAGCCGCGTACAAACCTGGATCTCCCTGCTTCCAGGGCTGAATGTCCATCCCTGTCCGGCAGAAGGAGCGGTCAGTGTGGGCTTCTGTGCTGTACAGAACCTCCTGGAGTTGTTTGTCTCCCGGCTTTTTGGCTTTCACTCTCACCTGAAGCAACATAAAAACACACCAGCATGACTTTGCTTTTCTGCTTTCGCCTAATCTTCATTCCCTTTCCCAGTAATAGATCAAATACCTCCAGGATGGTAGTTTCCTTCTCCTTCAGCTTCCCAGCTTTGTTCTTCACCTGCGTCTTCTTGGTGTCGACCCACACCACCCTCTCCTTCACGTCTGACCTGGACACGTAAACTAGATGTTTGAGAATGCACCCTCTACCTTGAGGTAACACTGAAAAGGACCAAACTCTAGGTACTGTGGACTACAGTTTAGATCGGGTCGGAAAAAAAATCCAGTCCAAGTCAATAGCAAAATCATTTCAGCCCTGAGTTTGAGTTGGGTTTGGCCCATAAATCAAAATTCTGTCTGGACTCACTCTTGGATGCCCAGATCAGCCAGCGTGGTGTCCAGGAAGGGAAAGGCTTGGTGAGAACCATCCGCCTGCAGCTCGATGGGCAACGCCACCGACATGGGGATGTCCTGCTCCACCTCCACGCGCACCATCACACTTTGCGGCTCGCGGAGCTTCCTGCCCGTTGGCTCGGCCTCTCCCTCCTCCAAGGAGGCCTGCTTTTTGTCCGCCGCCAGCTTGAATCACTGTCCTGTTCCACCACCGACAAACAACACCGCACCCTCTTTGTTGAGGAAGTGTTCTCAGTGTGACTGCAGCTCCCTATCTGCTCCCCCCTGTCTCCAGCTGTTCTTTATCCACGCCCTGAGCTGATTCAGATACCAGCCGGGTGACGATTCTGAGCTGTGGAGATGGACGCGGACCTGAGCTCTGCCCCTCCGGCCTGATATAAGCAGCCAGTGGGAAATGTGTGCAATGTGTCGCCCAGGTGTCAGGTTTATTAACCTGTCAGAGAGCTGACTGACAGATGGCCAGGAGTTTGCGTTTGCATTCACACCGATGCAGGCAGGAGACGAGTCACACACAGAGGGTTATTCTCAGCTCAACATACAGGAAGCATGTGGCCTTTGTATCTTCGGTCACAGTGTAAAACGCTTGGAGCTGAGTGATTCATGCGTTTTGGATGAACATGTAAGGTGACAAGAAGCATTAAAATGCCAACATCTGACCTCAGGTTCATTGCGGATGACAGATTTATGACTGAGTGTAATGAAAAGATGCCGGCCGCCTCATCTCGTCCTCTGCTCTTTGAATGTGAGGTTGGTGTATCACAGCACCATCACATTCTCCACTATTGGAGGGGGGGGGGGACAAAACGCTCCAGATATTTTGTCCCAGATCTCTGCTATAAGATGATTCGTTGAAGATACTTGTGTCTTATTTCAAATGTTTAACTAGAAATAAACAAAAACACATGGTAATATTTTGTCTGTTGGATTTCCATACGTAAGACAATAGATGAACTTACACGTGAATAGTGAATCATAGTCAATTAGATGGATGGAAAACTAGATAAGCAACCAAAAAGACAAACTGCTGAGTAATCAAAACAAACATTTGAAATAATGACTCAAACGGATAGCTGCATGGATGGATAAATAAACACAATAATCACAATTAAACGGAAGACCACAATATTTACACACTACAAGAAATAGCAGCGTGAAAATCAAATGTTCTAATCTATTTCATTTCATTTTTCAATGAAATGTTTAAATGAGATTCCACGCCAGGAACCGTGGATCTCGGTATGTTGGATTTCCATGAGGAACAGCAAATAACCCTGACACGCCAACACCAGTTTTCCCACCTGCACCCCTGACCGGCCCGCGACCCCGCCCTACCCCCACCGCCCGGTGCTCTTAAACACGCTCACGTCTTCATTTGTGGCTTTCCCACAAGCCGGTAATCTCACATTTACGAAGCAGAAGCCTTGTGGATGCTCATGTTTCTGCTGTAAAAAGTTGGGAGGGAGAACTGTGGCCTGCTGCGAGCAAAGCTATTCAAACGCTTCGTCATTCCAGCGAGGTGACGTAAGTGAGGGTTTGTGCTCTCCGACCTCAGCTCAGGCTTCAGTCACACCGAGGTGCCACAAAAATAAGTGTTGCTGCTCGGGTTATTTAACATGCAAACGTTCAGGCATGACGTCATATTATTTCCACCATTAACTCTTGTGCGTCAACCTGTCAGTGTTTTTTGACATTGAAATAAAGAAAATACACACACACAAAAAAAACTCCCAATCTTGGCAACTCTGTCACTGTATTAGAATAGTTATTCTTAAAAGAAATCCTATCCACTACCAAAAAGGCAACTTTAGACTTTGTATTTAGAAAAAGTCAATAGAATTTTATTCAATTTTATGTTGAACAAACAACACAATCAAAGTTGCTTTTTGTAACATTTACTGGTCTAAAATAGAAAAAAGCTTGAATAAAACTCAATATGTAAACACTATTAACATGTATTTAAAATAATGATTAAAACATATAAATACGTTAAATATTTAAAAGATTAAAACTTCAGTAAAATTGGCTTTAATTTTTAAAAACTGCAAACTGATGAAACAAATGATTGCTGATCAATTGCATTTAAAAAAAAGGAATTTATAGAAGAATCAATTCATTCGGCTGTGAACCGTCAGTGTTCAGATCGGCGTCCCGAGCGCTGCTGGCGCTATGGCGATGCTACTGTAGGGCTCGGTCTGACGGGCCGTCGCCTGTCCAGCTGACAGCAGCTCTGCACACACAAACGGCGGAAGATTAAGTTCACTCGTCACAGCTTACCGATCAGAAACTCCTGAATAGTTGAGGAAAAGCAGCATATTTCCCCACCCAGCAGTTTGTTCATAGTGCGAGCTGCAGTACAGCGGTCAGCCTTTGGGGGCAGCAAAGAGTCAAAGGCGGCTTCACCAGATCTCTGCAGGATGGAGGCGATCTCGCTGGAAAGAAAGGTGGGGATAAAAAGACTGATGAAAGCGCATGGTAAGATCGATACTTTAGCTTCAGATTTCCTCTTGAAATGTTGTTTTTGCGTTGCAGTTTCTCAACTCTGCTTCAAAAAAAAAAAAAAACATTTTTTGTTTTGATTTGGTCTAAAAAAATCACCATTTTGCACTTTGTTTAGAAAAATGCACAGAAACGATGTTAATGTTCGACACTTGTAAACTTTGTCCACATTCTGTTTGAACAAAATAACTCAAAGGAAAAATCACAAAAACATATAACGTTCAACAAAGAGTATTGATGTCGGCATTAATTTGGCAATATTATATGCATTTGGTATCAAATTGATACCAAAATATGCAATGTCCTCTTAAAAGATTCAGAACTGAAATCAAATTTTAAAAACCACTACCTTGTGTTGCTCTGTCAACTAAAATCCAAATAAAATATATTTATATCAGGGTTAGGGTGCAACTTGCTTTGTTGGCGAACCTCAGCATGTACTGTGTGTCGCTCTCAGCCTCGGGCAATTCCATGTTTTCCTCGGCTATCGGCTCCATTGGTGGCTGGACGTCCTCATGTGGAGACCTAAAGACACAAACACACTCAATGACATGTTCCCTGGTCATCCAGTTGTCTCAGTTCATCAGCATCAGCAGCCCACCATCTGCTGACGGGAGTCGTCACGTCACTTCCACACTTATCTTCATCGGGCATCTCCAGCATGGCATCTAACACAGCTGTTTACACGCAAAAGTGCATAATGGTGATCCCGTTATTGTGCTGCCGAGTCCTGAATGGGGAACTTGTGTTTGTGAGAGAAGACTCACAGGAGCCCTCAGTGGTTTGAAGTCCTGATTGGCTGCTCATCTGCGAGGAAAGAGGGGCAGAGATTTATCAGATGGAACGGTCTGGGATCTCATTCGTCTCGCCAACCGAGCTGAGCACGCACGAATTAAAAACTCAGAAAACGAGCCCGCCCGCCGCAGTCCTACGAACTCCAACGAGGAGTTTCGAGAACCAGAGTGGCGTTTTGACGGGGGTGTTTTTCTCGCGCTCCGTCACTCACGGCGGCCGTGCTGAGCTCTCCTCCGCTCCTCTAAAAATACCCGACCGACCTCCTTCATGCGCGAGTGCCTCCGCTTCCTCTCCGTCCGCAGGATCTCCATGTCCTGCTCTGACTCCTCTTCCGCTCTCTGCGCCGCCCCGCTCTTCCTCTGGATGGCGATGGAGGCCCGCTGTTTCCATAGCGACAGGAGGTCGGGGTGGACGAGAGCTGCGGAGGTAGGGCGGGGGGGGGGGGGGTCAGAGGATAATCTGTGTTCTTTACCACAGTGGGTAAGACTGGCAGACGACGTCACAGACAGCAATTATTACAGGTTTGAGCAGAAGCATTTTAGTTTGGTTTTCTGATTCGTTCCCATATTTATAAACATTTTTTAAATCAACCGGAGGTAAAAAAAAAAGGATGGCGCAGCCACTTCCAACCCTAACCTACTTGTTTCAAACGAATATGGGCCAAGTCTCGGGAAGCTACTCACATGCAAATCAATTATTATACCTGTTACTGCCAGAGGCGCTTGATCTGCTTCTTAACAGCGGATGTTGAGGCTCGTAAGTGCAGAAAATGGGCTAAGAGATATTCTGTTCCACTTTTATGAAAGAATGATTTCATCTACCAAGGAGGGAAAAAAAACACTATCCCTGTCCAAAAACATCAACTGTCAAGCACTTTAAATTTTTTTAAAAAATCATGTTTGCTGATTAAAAACTTATTCCGCAACCAGATGTATTGATTTATTTTGAATGGAGCGAGGGCCGGCACTTGCTACTGACATCCACAGGGGGCGCTGAAGAGCTGAGCAGGAGAGGCCCTCCGGGTCAGCGCAGGGACGTCCACCAACACCTCCGCCTGACAAAAAGAATAATATATTACCTACACGGCACTGAGATGAATGCAGAACATTACTTCTTCTTCTTTTTTTGCTCGAGAGTTGGAAGTGAATCATGACTCCTCGAAGGAATCGAAGCAGCAGAAGAAGAAAGATGAAAGGGAATCAATGAGCTCTACTCCAGAAGGGTTTCAAGGCAAAGGGAAGAGACAGAGAAGCTGCGGTTTAATGAAGTGAAACTCCAGTGAAATCCACGCTGGCATAGCAGGAGTCTGACTGCAGCCAAGCAGCGACAGAAAACTCAATCAGTGAGTGACTTAAACAACTGAGAGATCGTTGTTTACACGTGCAGCTGCTGCTGTTGGTTCCAGCAAATACTTTTACAGACTCAAGACGTCTAGATTTTCCTGTAAAATAAAATAAAAATACGTTTGGTTTAATTATCTCTACGTGCCACAAATCATGAAACATCACAATCGTGGCTCCTGTTTTGGCAGCGTCGCAGAATTTTTTTCAGGCATCCAGATCAACCTAATTGGTCTCTAATTAAAAAATGTACAACACTCAGGCCTGACAAATCTGAACCGAATAATTTTACGGCAAATAAAGGCTGTTTAAAATAAAATTGATGATTTGTGATCAAAAACGAGAGAACGACCGTCTCTTAAGGATGTAACAATTAATCGGATTAGTTGTGACGAATCGATTGTTAAAATAATCCTGGACTAATTCAATAGTTGATTCATCGTCAACTTTAGTAGACAGACTCAGGAAGCAAGACTAAAAGAGAAAACTGTACAAAAGTATATGCATTTTTCAGTTATGAAATAAAATGAAAAAAACAAAAAACAAAAACAAAACATTTTCTGTCAATATTTTTCTCTGTTGCAATTCAGGTAATAAAATGTGTTTGTGATATTATATAAAAAAGGTCGAAGTGGTTAAGTGAAAAAACTGCAGCATGTGCCAATTCTTTAATCATCACAATAATCAGTAACTAACATTGTCGTTAGTTGCAGCTCTGGTTTATTTATCTGTGGATTTTGCCGTTTGTTCATAAACTAAAACATTAAACACTGACAAGGCAAATCAGTGCTTACAAACCTTAAAGATGCCCAACGCTCCTTTTCTTTTTAAACTTGGTTAGTGGAGTAAATAAAGTATTAATGTATATGTTATGTACCATATCTAGAGTTTCGATCAGTGGATCTTCAATCTGCTGATGTATTTCTTGGTCAGGGATCTGGACCTCAGGGTCCACAAAGACCAGCTGGCGCCTGCGTCTCCCGCCGTGCGTCCTCAGAGGACGGCCCACCGCCTGGCGGCAGAGTAAACCACACGCTTAGAGGACCAATGGCGTCATAGCACACCAGTACACGATGACACGCTCTAACATGCTGCCAATTGTGTCCCTAAAAAACAAAAAACAAAACCCAACTGATTCTGTCTACGTGTCTCTGACCTCGTCACAGAGGCTCTCTGCAGCTCTGTCCCCTACGCTCTCCGGTGGCATCGCTACGTGCTCAGGGGTCATTTCAGGGGCCACGGCTGCCAGAGGAACCTCCAGGGGCTCCCCGGTCTCCTCGTCCAGCAGCCACATGACGTCCTGCTCTGTCCCGAGCGTCGTGTCCTTCAGCCTGGACGCGGGAACGCACACGCGATCAACAGGAGGCGCCTCGCACCGACAACCTTCACGGTTCGGCTTGAAAAGTTTCCAGGCTCACCGGACGCCAAAGGATGAGACGGCTTGGTCCCCTGTCCTCTCGTTAGGCTCCTCGTCTTCTGTTTATAACATATTTACAACAAGAAGGAGATAAAACATAAAAATTACACTTACACAGGTTAGAGTTTAAGATTTCAAAGTGAAGCTTTCATGGCCTTATGAAAGAGCGCTCTGATATTAACCGGATGTTCTTAGATGTTTAAAGGTGCAGACACAGAAACACAGACAAGATCAGGCTTTTGTAGGTGCTGCCACCGTCAGGTGGATAACGATACTGCAACCTCCTGCTGCAGGATGCTCATTCATTCTACTGAACATAAATGATTTGGACGACATCGTTCGCAGACTTTTTAAGACCACTATAAGTCATTATTATATTTTTAAAGCTGTCGTTTTAAAACAGCATTGCCTAAACAGTTGTTAAGGTAATTTGAAGCGCCTGGATTCATCAGTAAGTCTGCAATAGTTTTCTACCTATTTAATCTGTTTTTAGAGCAAATTGTATTGCAAATTTATTTCTATCCATATTTGTGTGCAGGTATGTGTAACCCACAAGTTACTTTAAATACACCTGATAATAGCAAAAGGCAGGTAATTCAATTTACTTCTCTGACCAGCACCGATGCTATGACAGTATATCTAAAAAGAAGTTGGGCCGGATAAAAAGACACTAAATTCTTTGTGCACACCCTAAATTAAGAGTAAAATTTCATAATAAAAACAAGATGGCGCACGTTTTTTTTTAAAACAGAAAATGAAATAAATAACAGTCGTTTCAATGTGTCGGTCATTCCGTGTTTATCCAGTCTCTTCCAATGTGTCAGTCAGTTCTCTCAGTATTTCCAGGATAGTGACCAGTCGGGTCACTATCGACCATCTCACTGGGTTCTCTGGGCTGGAGCTCGCCATCCAAATTCAGAAGAAATGGGTCCTGAAGTCTCTGGGCACTCCAGGCCAAAAGTGCACCGTAAAAAAACAAAAAAACAAAACTCTGACTCTAATGGGGATTTTTTTTCTTCAGTCTCAGCTGCTCTCAAAGAAACGTTTGTCCAGATTTTATAATCTCTCTCAGGCTCTTAACGAAAACAACGGTCAGCTGTGAGTTCTCAACCGTAGTTCTGAGCCGAATCACAGCGCAGCAGTGAAAGGGGTGGGACAATCAACCCCATTGGCTGACGCAATATCAGACCAGGCCAGCCATTGGTTGCCCAATCCATCAGCAAAACAATCACTAAAGGCCCACTTCCCAGCTTTTTAAAGATTTTTAGCACTTTTTGAAATATTTTTCTAAGTAAAGCAAAACACAAAATCTATTTATACTTTCCAATCTTGTGAAAAAAAGACATCAAATTAACATCATTAACTTTCACTTGTGTTTTAAACACTGGGTTACATGTGGGAAAAGTATAGCCGCCTTTTTTCCAACCAGCTGAAAGTGGAAAAAAAAAATCAGATGTCTGGCACTGCATTACAAAGAGGTTTTAGTTCTATTAACACCTCAATACAGGTAGCAAAGCTTTACATAATAAACTACAATTAAAATTACTTTTTTTTTTGTCAGCCAGGATAAAGAATATCAGTTCTGAAAATTATGCATATATATCTAGATAAAAATAGTATATTATATGAATTTTCAAGTGGGAAGAGTAACTGTGAGGAAGAAAAAAAAAACACAAATATTTTTTTTTTTTTAAGTGAAAAAGTTTGTAACGAACAAGGCCAACCAGCTGCAATTTTCTAAGCAACATGTCTCTATTTGGTAACACCTGTTTCTAAAAGCGGGACTGCCCTCACACGGATTAAAATCTACTGACTCCTTTTATTTTAGAAATTAGTGGGACACCGAACCAGAAACACTGTGAAATAGTATTTCACAGCAGCAGCTCCCACGAGGCATGTGACAGCTTTGTGATTAAAGGAGCGGTGAGAGACAGAGACACACACACCTCTCCTGAAGTAATCAGGCTGATCCATCAGAAACTGAATGTCTCTGGCTGTGGCTTCGGGAAGCTCGGCTCCGTCGAAATCCTGCGTCGGAGGGAAACAAAAGCAATGACTACACAAGGACAAAAAATTAAAAAACTAAATGTGAGGAAAATAATGAGAAACATGCAACCAACAGAAAAAAGCTAGTGGGAGGTGTGTCACGTTGTGTTGCCCGAGGGGCAAAGATAACGCTCCAGGACAGGCAGGCGGGAGCCGGAAGAGCAGAAACGTGGACAACATGTCTGTTTGAGTGCAGCCTGATTTAATTAAGTCAGATCTCATCAAGGCAAAATGGACTTCATCGGCCGAGGGTGCTTGAGGAGGAGCATTATCTGTCTCTGAGTGACAGAATGAGGAGGCTGTGTGGAGGTGCCTCTGCAGTCTGCTCATCAAAAGCAGAAGGATCTGCCTGCATTTAAACACCGCAGAGACGTCGACCGACACACAATGAGGTTTAGTTACAGTTTGCCAACAACCCCACTGCATGACATGCACGGAAAATGAATCGCTATGTTCTGGACCGAGCGAGGCCACGATTTTAAGCAAAGCGAACATGCGACAAAGACGTTGAAACACGGCACCTGCGGGCTCTGCTGACTCAAATTTAAGACTTTTTTAAAGGCCATTATGAATGAGATTTAAGACATGTAAAGCAAGAAATCTGCAATCTAAATTCACATGTTTATTTTGTAAAAATAAATATGCACCTATCCAAAAAAAGAGGACCAGCTAGCCAGCTAGCAAAGGAATATTAGCAGCTAATTAGCAGTAGCCTCAACCTCTTCAAGAAATCATAGAGCGCAATGAAAACGTCTGCCTGACAGAAAAATAAACAACAACATGATATGTGCAGGAATAAAAAACAAAACATTTAAAGGCCTTAGTTTTAGACACATAAATTTAAGACTTTTTAAGGATGAACCATGTAAATAGAGACGTCATTCACACACACACATCCCGGCTCAATAATTCACCGGGACGTGTGCTGTCTCTGAAAATGATGACTGAGGAGGTTCCTGAGGCTGAACCCTGACAGAGAGTTTACCTCAGCAGTGTTGATGACAAACTGCTCCTTCTCTGTTAGTGTGATGGCAGCCAGAGGCGAAACGAAACCTGCTTCAGGAGAAACGGACCAGGGAGAGGCAAAGCAAGGCTGTCAGACGGGACGATATTAACACTTCAAGATGCTGTAAGTTGTATCTTTATCGAAAGCGTACAAATTAAAATCGTCTTTCGTTGCAGTAGCATGCTATGCAGAGAAAAAAAACAATAATAGAAAAGCCCACCATTCAATAAAAAAAATAATAAATAAATCCACATCATTGTGTCTTTTAAAAAATATCAGCTTTAATTACTTTAAGCGAAAACTTTCTGTTAAGACAGCACTAAATCTTTTCCAATATTTGTTAGGGTTGCAACATATAGGGAGGGATCTTGGACAAATCGTTTGACTTTTTCTCTTGAGCCATTCCTGCACTGATTCCATCATAGTTTCGAACATTATTATGTTGAGAGACTCAATGAAATCCAAGCAGGAGCTACCAGGTTTTCACCGGATATTTCCTGGCATTTCGATGTTTTTGTGATGCCAGGAGCTCAATGTTAGGGTGTCTGCACGCCTGATAGTGCGGCAGACTCGGTTCTGTATGGGACCAAAATTGCTACACATTTGCAGCTTGTGCGGTTTGCTTTCGTGCTGCACCGCATCAGCCGAACAAAAACCTCCGGAAAAAACCTGTTCCACCCCCTCGCCTGCGGGGGGCACTGCACCAAGAACAACTGAAGGAAACGACAGAAAAACCTCTGAGGAAGACATGAGCACAACTTCAGTAATTCAGCCTTTAGTTCACCAAAAGTGAATTAAAAGATGTTTTTTTTTTTTTTTTTACTTCCCTTATCTTCTTTACTGATCATATTTATACACAAGAGAATCAGGAAGTCATTTTTATTTTCATGCATCGTACAAAGGCAATCGTATCTTTTTGATTACTTTTTCTTTTTCCTGTCAGTCAGACACTGGTCTCAAATGAAGCTACTGACGTCTTTGTGGCTTCTTGTTTCTAATCTATCAATGGCAACACAGTTATGGGGGATGTTTTTTTAAATAAACAAAATAAATAAATAAAAAAATAGCTCAATTAAAACTCACCTTGATTGTCTGGTTTGTTGGTGGGGCTGGACACCGTAAAGTTCTGCAAAACCAAATCCTCAGTCGCAAACTCGGTCTACAAGGACATATATATGTATATAAAAAAAAACTATATGTGGAAAAAAAAAACTATTTTGGCCAAACTAATTAGTTTGGCCTAATTTTCATTCAACAAACAATGAACATCGGTTTGTTTTGGAGCTGTGTAGAAAAACTGTGTGTTTTCGGCCATTTAAAGCACAAGGTTGGCGTTAAAATGGGAGGAAAGGAAAACATTTTTCTGGGTGCTATCAAGAAGCTCACCCTCTAATGACTAATATCTAACAAAGTTGGGTTTTAATATTGGAAACTAAAATTGTGGCAATAATTAGCCAGTCACTCACCCTCGTTTGCTCTGAACATAACAGTCTGGGTCAAAAACAGGTCAGGAAAACAGAACCGGATGTTTTTGAATGTTATCAATGAGCTGAAAGTCTGGGACCAAATCTGAAGATTTGAATCCGGTTTCCTTTAAGTTAAGGTCATCTCCTGTCTTTGAGGCACTGCAGGTCGCCTATATGTTGTGGAACAACTTGATTTTCTGGAAAGATTGTAGCAAAAGGTCAAAGTTCAAATGTTTCTGCTACATTTACACCTTAAGCGAAGTGATTTGCTTTACCGGGCACTTTCTGGGTGTGGCGCAATGACACGATGACTCAGGAGATAAACGCCACCGTGACGTGGAATAAAAGGCATCGCAGTGACCAGAAAAAGCAAATTAAGACGATTCTATTTGTGTTATTTTAATTTATCAACTTTATAAAGCTCTAACTGTCTGCATTTCACCTTCATATTTTCATTTTATTTAAATGTATCAAAGCAAAGAGAGGTGAACATATAGGAACGTCACCCTTTTTAGATTTTTTAAAACTAAGTTTCCTCATCTTCTCACCTCCCAACTATCCTCTTCTTTGTGCTGATCGTTAAGCATCACGTCCCATTAAAAAACAGAAAAGTTTGAGGTCATGGAGTGAAAAAGAAATCGAGCTAACGTTCAAGGGCGTGGATACTTTCAGAAGGCTCTGCAAATATGACCACAGTTGCTCCTGACACCACGCTGCCACCTCCGTCCAACCTGCCAATATTTACATACTAAATATTTGACAGGAGGAGCAGCTCACTGTGCTGGCAGATGTCCGTCGGTTTTATGCGCTGCGCTGCAGCCAGAGAGCCAACAGAAGCCACAACAACGACGCAGTGCACTGGCGGTGTGTGCAGTGACCGTACCGGGACCATTCTGTAGGGGCTGGGCAGCTGGTGGGAGGCCATCAGACCAAAGAAGGGGTCCAGAGCTCCCTCGGCCTCCACCATCATGTTGAGGCCGTCGGGAAGATCCAGAGCCATCCTGCCGGAGGACGAGACGGAGAGCAGCCACTTTTAACCACGGCTTCTACGGACCCACGAGACGCTAACGCACCTGTGGTGTTAAGATTTACCCGCGAAACATTGGGAAGATATAAAAGGACGAGCTTATCAAATATTGATGAAGGCCCCTGCGTGAGGAGCTCAGTTCATCCGTCAACAAGTCAGTAAAGCAAACATATTCTCATTTCTACAGTCTGGTCTTTATGTCCTCTAAGAGCAGAGCTTCACTCAAGACGACCACGACGAGTGAAATCTAAGACCTGTATCACAACAGAGACGTGCAAAAGAAAACTGGATATTTTCTACAAGCTTTTTTGAACAGAATGGATGTAGCATCATGTGGGTTTGTAACAGAAGTGCTAGCTAGCAAGGGTATGTTAGCAGCTAGTTAGCGATGAAAATGTGGCATGCGACTCGAACATCTGCTTTACAGAAAAGTCCCATATTAAAATAAACTATATACAATGTGCAAGCCAAGACAAAATGTAAGACCTATGATTAATGTAATTTGAGGCTCTTACATTGTTTTATAATTGATTTAAGACAATATAAGGCCTTGATTTTAGGGTGCCCAGACACCGCGGGTCTCTTCCCATGGCTCACTGTGAGGATGTTCACCTGTCGGATTCAGCCAGGTCTATCTGAACGAGTCTTTTGTAGCGGAGCCAGCGGTCGATAGTTTGCTGGACCTCCTCTGAAAGGGAAAGCAAAAAAGAAGAGAAAAAGACACAAAGAGAGTTTGCAAGTTTTCTCACGTGAAACTGTCAAGAAGTGGCGGTTTTAGTGGCGAGGGTTCAGGCGTGGTCTGAAGTGCAAAGCGACGGTTTTAGTGACGATCACAAAGTGTGCAGAAGAAACGTGAACACAAGGAAAGAAAACACAATAACTCAGTCAAGAAACAATGCGGTCAAGGCGGGGCACGGGGATAATCAGGGGGAAACAGACAAGAGGCAGACGGGACAACAGAGACTCAACAGACACACACGAAACCCCGAATCCTCACACAAAGAGGCCGGCAGACGCAACAACTTCCACAATCACAAGCGATCCAGATTGCAAAGCTTTTCACGCGCATGATGCTGGTCTTTCACAGTTTCGATCGAACTGAGAGAGCAGCGTGGGCTGCATATTTATTGGACTCGGGATCGGTGTCAGTAAATCGAGACGAACCCTGCTCTCATCAGCACCGTATTGGTTTGCGCCTCCCGCTATATCGGAGTGAGTCAGGCGGCGAGATGTGTGACGGCGGGGCTGTTTGTGTTTCACACCAGAAGAGCATTCCTGTGACTAACAGCAAAAGATGCTTTTGGCAGAAAACGTGAGAAGCGCTGGCGCTCTAAACGTCGACAAAATGTGCTGGAATACTCTTTAAAAACAATAAATAAATAAAAGAATCTCACCGAGCAAGAAGGCGCACTGCTTGTGGTAGATGACGACCACGCCGTACTGCAGCTGAGACGACAGGTAGAGGGAGAAGCGAGGCCTGGACTGGTTGGGCTCCAGAGCAGGAACTTGCCCCGTCACGTACTCCAAGATGTCGTTGCTGCAAGGGACGGACAAAGAGTAGTCAGAAATGTTTTAAGACACGAGATATAAAAAGTACATCTACCTCCCTTCAATCTATTTTACTGGGATTTTACGTCATAGACCAACACAAAGGACCAGTGAAGGAGAACTGGTTTGTAGGTGTTTGGCAGGAGAATACGTTGACAAGAAGTTTCAGTCATGGAAACGTAGCCACAAGAAACATAAACATTTCGGAGGAAGGTCAGGGGAAATGATGATTTTCCTTCAGCCGGGGAGGGGGAAGCAGGTCAGAGCTGACGGAAAGACGGATGGAGCTAAATATGGACAACCTCTTAGAGGCTGCACTAGACTTGAGACCTGACGACGAAGGTTTCACCTTCTGGCAGGACAACGTGACGCATCCACGTCTGAGCAACAGTGGAATTAGTTCAATGAAAGCACAGCAGCATCCAAGTCAGAAACGTCAGAATGGTTCGGACCAGAATCGAACCATTCGGAACCAGCCTGAGCTGTTTTGCAGAGATCAGGAATGGACTAAATGGTCAGTTTGTAGATCTGCTAAGCTAGCGAAGACATACCAAGAGAGACATGCCGCACTTTTCAGATTATCTTCTGTTCCACAATATTTTTTGCTAAAACATACAGCTTTTGAAATGAGATGTTTTTAAGTTACTATTGTTTTTATGTTTCATTCCAAAAACTATATATATAACTAATATAAAACCAATTAACTAGTTAACCAATAGTTAACAGTCCAAGTCTGGAGCAACAAATAGAGGACTCTGATTAATTAAACTCTTACCATGTCCGCTTTACGTTGACCCTGAGGAACTCCCTGCGAGTGACCCGGATGCCTCCTGTGGCTGCAAGCCTGGAGAGCAAAAACAACACAATACAATGCAATATCGATCTAAAATATAATACTTTAGATTCATCTAAACCATGTTTTAGATTAATTCTCAGTTAGCTCAGATGTTGTATGGATTTCCTTGAGGAAATTATTGGTTACCTGCTGTTAGTTCCCTTTTAATTTTCCATCACAAGCTAAGAAGGAATAACTGGGCGTCGTTCAACTTACCAGATTGTGGAAAAACATCCAGTATGGCGCTGGAGGACATTTGGGTAGTAGAACATGTCGCAAGACGATGACCTTTCAACTAAAAAACAACAAACCCACGAAGTTTGTAAATTTCACCCCCGGACGGCAACTTTCAGGAGCGGGAAAGTTTCCCGCGTCGAGCTCAACAGCGACCAATCAGCTCCCGGGAAGGAACTCGGTTTGAAAGTCAACAATTCGTGGTGCGTTCAGGACCGTGCATGTAAAATAAGAATAAAATCGACGAGTCATTTAAGAGAAGTCGTTGGTGCGGGCCAGAGTGATGTTGGTAAAGTTCAAAATGTTCATTTATTTTCTACACATCTGCTTTTTATAATGAATGATGTCAGACCAGGAACATCAATTTCACTGATTTTGAGAAAACTCAAACCTTTCCAGGATGGGATCCATAAATTTACCTCCAAGAATTGTTCCACAGTTTGTTTAACAATAGATTACTACTACAAAAAATAATAATAATGCTCTCAGCAAATGTATACACACACATAACCCACTAATTGGTGGATTTCAATTGAATTCACTCCATTTATAAAGTCCCAATTCATAACAAACGTTATAAGACAAACAGGACCAAATGTTTTCCAGAAATAGATTTGTATGATAAATTAAATAAAATACAATCATGTACAATTCTGTAAAAATAAAAAGTAAAATAAAAAAAAAATTGAGTCAAATATTATATCAGGAATTTTGTTTTATTTTACTCTCAAATGATAATTTTTTGCACTTTGCTTCAGACAGAAATTTGTTTTGTTGCTCTGTTTCTGCTTATCATGTTGAAGTATTTTGGAGGCACATTTAACAAAAAAAACAAAACAAAACAAAAAAAAAAAAACAATTTAAATGGAAAAACCGCAAAAACACCTGAAAAGTCAGAAGCTTGATTTCATATCATATCAGATCTAAATAATAAATAAAAAGTATCGGTATCGGCTTCATCGTTAGTAATATTGGCTTTATCATTATTATATTATTTTACCTAGCGTTAGATTAACACCAAAATATGTAGAATGTATCACACGCCTCTACTTTAAGCGCTCCACAATATCATTTATTAACTTTATTCAAGCCTTTAAAAGAGAAGGGCGGTGTGACGTCACCCCGCACGGGCAGCGGTGAATGATTGGCCACGCCCCTGTGCGGGGAGTGGGCTGCCACTTTGAGCTGCGCTGCTGAAGTCTGACTGAAGCGGCCGAGAAGAAGCGAAACTACAGCCCGGAGAGGGAAGCGCTCAGTCTGTGCTCGGCCTGCTGTGGTTTGTAGTTTTTGTTGTTGCCGACAACAAAGCTTTCCCATTAAGATGGCGTATCACAGCCCCTACAGAGCCCCGCCGCAAATCAACGCTCCTGCGGACCAGAGCTTCCTGTGGAATATCTTCCAGAGGTGAGTGCGGAGACGCGGCTCGTTCAGGGAGCGCTGGCCCGCTGCTGCCGTCGTAAGAGACGGGAAGAGGAAGAGAGGCGGACTGGGTGGTGGTTCCGCCAAATCATTTCAGTGACAGTGCGGGTTTTTTTTTTTTTTTTTTTTTTGTTCTTTTCGTCTCCGGTCGTTTCTGCTGCTTTTGGTTCTCAGTAAAGCTCCTCGGGGGGAAATTCGTGACCCAGCGCAGGAAATACTACGGCGGTGTGTCTTTCCACGAGCTGCATAGCCTGTGGCTGTGACTCGTCACTCAGCTGATCACAGCACAGAAGGTTTTTTTTTTCTTTATAAGTGCCACAACTGTTTAAGACTAAACCAGCAACCAGCTGGTTTAAATATGATCAGTACCTAAAACCAGGGCTTGAAGGACCTCCAGGAGTCCTTGAAGGCATCTCCCCTCCTTCCACCCGCCCCCCCCACCGGGTTCTTACCTGCAACTTTATCCATACCAACATACCTGATCAATACGATTGGAAAAAAAAAAAACATTAGTACTTCCAAAAAGGCATGTGTAAATCCATGTGTCACATATGTGTCTCTAATGTATGAGAACATTAGAGAGAGGCTGCTGACGGTCATGAGGCTGAAATGTGTGTCAGCAGCTGTGGCAGTCATAGTAGCAGGCAATCAGGGACATGTTGATTTGGTTTGGCCCCTGGTAATAATTGCAGTTATGTAATACTGCAGAGGATTTGCTTTCAACACTACTGAAGCGCTGCAGGCATTTATTTGAGGGGGTGCGGGGTTTGAACCAGCCCTCACAAATTATTAATGTGTGGAGCAGAACTTCAGAATAATGCAGTGTGAGGTATGCATAGGTTCCTCCTGGACGTTGCTTATCTGCTGCTTCTTGAACCGATAGGTCATTTTTTTTCTTTTCTTTAGATCTATATAGGTCTAAAAAAAAAAAAAAAGGGAAAAGTCTGCAGCGTGAACTTGGTGTCTTCCAGAGCTGGATAAGATCTATGTTTCCCCCAAACTTATTGAGTAAAAAAATCCATCCACCCCACAATTTTCTTATGGTTTCTAATTATTTGGGTTTTAGATTCAAAATTCCTGACCTCTGCAGAAACATCTGCCAAGGATTCTGGGTAAACCCTTGTATTTACTCTTTAAAAATATCTACAAATAGACGCAGAACTTTGGAATTCTGAGCTTTCATATATTGAATTAAATTTAAAGAAGTCAGCTCTAAATTCATCTGAAAATATCTCTGGTTGGGAATTTCTGTTCTGGCTCTCACCCACCTGTTGCTGCGCACTGCTGGGCAGCTGGCTGCGAGACGCAAAAGACGCGCGTTACAGTCGGTCAGCAGCGGCGTTCCCGTTACAAATGCGCGCAAAAGCTTTTTCGATGTTCTGTTGCTGTTGGGAAAAACTACAATTTTTCCACTGCGGCGTTTCCATTAAAGGAGAAATGCAGTCAAAATAACACGTGAATTAGTTTGTCGTTGCAATAAGTCATTACAAATCATGGCGGTGACACGACATGCATTCATATTTCATCCGCCATCAGAGGAGACATCTATTTCTAATAGTAATGCTAACACAGATTACGTAACATGCTTAATACAGGTATTGTAGCGATATCTAGAACTTCAGTTTATTATTCTGAGCGTCATACAAAGTTTATGTGTAATGCATGTTGCTCCATGAAGTAATACTGTGTGAGTCATGTTTCTATTTTTTCTGCTTTGATGACAGAATGGCAAAAATGCTTCCCAGTAGCCTTTCAGCAACACAGATCTGTTGCTGTGCAGGAATAAGAACGCTGATCATGTACAGTGGCTGCTTATTGCCTAAGAACCAGAAGAAAGTGTTCTTGTTAGTGCAGTAGAAGTTGGGAAGTTTGGGATCTTCTTTTTCCCACCAGTGACTTCACCCTCCTCTCTCTCTCTCTTTCTTTCTTTGGAGTTTTTGTGTGGAAAGGCAGAAAGGGCGTTGCTCCTCAGACATGTTGCCTAATAGGAAAAAGTGACAAGGGGGGAAAAAAAAATCTGAGCCTCTTTCACTGACTCAGTTTTGTGTGTTTTTGTCCCAGTTTGGTTTGTTAGATTCAGGTTTTTTGCGCTTGACAGCGGCGGGGATGGAAACTCCAGATGGTGCCTGTTCTGCGGGGGAAGAGGCAGATTTAATGATGCTTTTCAATGCGCTCCTTCCCTGACTTGCGAGGTCACTTTGCCTGAGGCAGGATGAGCTACTGAGATGGGGTGGTGGAGGAGGGAGCATGCTGAACGTGACACACAAACACACACGCTTCTTTGAGTAGATCAGTGTTCAGGAGAAGATGGGGGCCTCCTCCGCTGGCGCCGGCCCAACCGGTCTTTACCTTTGCCATGACAAAACTTTCCTTTACTCTGACCTGTGGCGATGTTTGTTTATCTATGATTCTGATTCCACCAAGCTGACGGAGGAGGTTTGTGTTTGTTTTCCTAATTCAAGCGGCTGGAACTGCACACAAACGTATACGTGTAAAAGAAGGCCACGTAGGCTTCAGAAATATTATATACCGCAGCTGGCAGCAGAAACCTCAGCCCAAGCAGTCAGCGGTGGGCCGGTCCTGTGAGAGCGCGCGAGTGTGTGAGTACTGGAGGGTTTTCCCGTCCTCTGGCCCTCGCTGCTCCTCTCTGCTGGTATGTTTGCAGAGGGAGCGCTGCGTCAACAGGTCGGGGTTGCTAAGGAACGTCTGAGTCACTGGATGTTCGACTAAACTGGATTAAAAGTGTCAGGCCATCGGATGTGTCATCCGTTCTCGTGACTCTGAGTCTTGGAGGAAGATTCCCGAATCACAAAATATGAAGTAACGGTTTCTTAAGCCTTCGTGATGTCTTCCAAGAAAGCAACAATGTGCCCGATGTGAATTTGACTGTTTTCAACCTGTGATTTCTGATCTTCAGTGTGAAGTATACATCTATTGTACCTGCAATGCCAACAAACTCTGTTAACTTGTTCTTCGAGCTATGGTGGCTCGACGGCGGTACCTGTCTTAAATAATGCTGATAAACCTGTTGAGTTAGAGTCTCTTTACAGCTCCATTATGTCATTAGATAATATACTATGGAGGTAAAGGAATTTCTTTTACTTTGGTTTTTGCACTTCTTGTGACAGATTTACAAGTTCAAATTTTGAGTCTCAGTGATTTGTTCTTCCATCCATCCATTCAAATCACTGCAGGTTAGATTCCAGTTTGTGACCTGACCGAGATGATCGAAGTGTGCGCAAATGGACTGTACTTTGAGTAGAACTCCGTTTACAACTTTATAAATGTCTACTATAGATCCATACTACAATTTGTATAAATTTTTTTATACTGAGAACTTAACAGAAAACCTTAAAACAAACCCTCACTCTTACGTTTAATAAAAGTTAATCTATGCTCTCCTCTGTCTGCTTTCACTTTTGATTTTGTTATGACATAGGAAACAGTCCTGACTGAGATTTTTGAAAGCTGACTCTGCCGGTTGCACCAGACGTCATCCGTCTGCAGCGAAGCAAGTCAGCATTCTTTCTCACTTCAGTTTCCAAGTTTACTGGAAGCCAGTCTCTCCAGTCTCTCCCTGACAAGCTTCCTTGTTTGTCCCGATCATAGAAGTCCATTCACTCCTGCAGGCTGCTGAAACACTGGCACACGCTTGGTGTGATCGGATTTCCACAGGCGGTTGCCGATGTCAGCTGCTATTGTGTCTTCTCGTGTCTGTGGGTGTGAAGAGGGTAAAGTAAACGAGGCTAATCTGTGGATTTGTTTTTTTGTTTTTTTTGTCCTTTTCTTTCAAGGGTTGACAAAGACAGGAGTGGAGTGATCTCAGACTCTGAGCTTCAGCAGGCCCTGTCCAATGGTACGTATTGATGTGCTGCCGATGTGCCACTCCCAGTTTTGTTCCTTAAATCTCTGCCGCTGGAGGGACAAGAAGGGAATGGGAATGGTATTTTTATCCCTGGGTTGGAGGCGCTGATTTATTTTTATCCCTGTATAGAAGACGGTGCGATGAAAGCCTCCATGTGTTGCTTGAAAGGAAACACTTCAATTGTTCTCAAGAGTCCTTGAAATATCAGAAACTCTGGAAATAAAACTTTGAATTAAACAGGTTAGGTAGTGGCCACTCAAACCTTTTTTCAGTGGAATATGAAGTCAGAAGTATGAGTGTTTTTTTTTTATTTTTTA